CTGTTAAACTCATTGTCCACCAGGCCCCTCAGGGCCTTTTTTGCCAAGCTGCTCCCCGGCCAGTCAGCCTGCGTCCTGTGCTGGTGCATGGTGTTATTCCTCCCCAGGTGCAGGACTTTGCGTTACCCTCTGACGTTTATAAGATTTCTGTCTGCCCGTTTCTCCATCCTGTTGAGGACCCTCTGAATGGCAGCGCAGCCCTCGGATATATCAGTTATTTGTCTCCGTTTTGTATCGTCAGCAAACTTGCTGAGGGTGCCCCGTGTACCAGTCCAGGTCATTAATTAAGATGTTAAACAGCGTTAACCCCTAGAGTATGCTGCTGTTAACTGGCCGCCAGCGGGACTTCATGCCACTGATCACAACTTTCTGAGCCTGGTGATTCAGCCAATTTCCAGTCTACCTCACTGACCACTTATCTAGCCCATACTTCATCTTTTTGTCAGCATGTTATGGGAGACAGTGTCGAAAGCCTTGCTAAAGTTGAGATAAACAACATTCATTGCTCTCCCGTCATCCGCCGTGCCAGCCATCTCACTGTAGAATGCTATTATATTGGTCAAGCGTGCTCTCCATGATGATTACTCCTAATCATCATCTTATCCTTAATATGTTAAGAGCAGCATTTAAGAAATTCCAGGTAGTATTTTGAAAATGGAAAGGTCCTCCTAAGGTTAGGCCAAGAAGTTCTGTTTTGAAGAGAGAGACTGGAAAGTGTTGTTCTGTTACGCTCTTAGAAGCTTGTGGTTTGGCTTTGTGAGATTTTTCTGCTTCGAAGGATGTGTTCTCCTTTATGTCATATTATCATTAGAAATATTTCTATCTTAACATCCACGTCAGAACAGTAGGACAATACAGGAAAAAGGGTGTTTTTTCACCTACTGGAGATACCGTTACTAGTATTGTTTCTTGTCTACCCTGCAGGTCAGCAAACGCTCATTATGATGACAAGGGATTTTGAACCCATTACGGAGAAGCAAATCCACCAGGATGATTTTGGGGAAGGTGAGAACTTGCACTGAAATAAAGTTGCTCAAACTGATTGCATTGGTATGTTATAAACATGTGTTAAGTATAGAAATGGAGCTTGAGCATTTAGTAAACCCCAGGGGGCATTGTAGACTGTAAAGCGGCTGGGCAGCTGAAATGGAATGCCAATGTTTTAACGGTCATCAGAAATCCAAGCAAGTCCTCTGTGCTGGAGGACTTCCTGGGCTATGTAAATTTCCTGTGGCCTTTCCGAATTAAATCTGGATGGAAGATGTGGGTGGCTTGTCTTGGTGGCTGTGCTTGTGTTCACTACATTGCATAGAATAGCTCTGTAACAATCTTCCACTGCCATGATTATTTTTTCCTCAGAAAAGTTTGTTGCTCTTGGCTGGGGTAAAAAGGAGACACAGTTCCATGGATCAGAGGGAAAACAGGCAGCTCATCGCAAGCAAACGGTATTGTGCTGGTTTTCTTATGTTGCGCCATGCTCCCCGGAGGGGAAACTTCTGTAAAGTGAGTTTCTCTTCTTTCCTGCGGTGTCAATTTTCTACCACCTCTCGTAGCAGTTGGCCCATATGCCTGTCTTTTCCTCAGACTCCTTCTGGGTTTGTTTTCCTGTCTAAAGCCCAGCATTTTTATCCTCCTCCTAATTCAGGACAGCAGTGGGAGTACTTAACGACTTTTTCATGTGGATCTTTATGCAAAGAGATGTGTGAGCATTAGTCCTTGCTAAGGTGGAGTCACCCTTAAATCAGTAGAGCAGATTCTTCTGAATTTGGGTACTGTATACCAAACCATTACTATGGCCGGGAGCTGTAAGGTATGCAGCATGCATTTCAGCTGAGAAGAGGAGAAATAGCAGTGCGCTGAGCATCCCGGGGGCATTATGGCCCAGCAAAGGCAGGGCTCGGCCAGGTACGTGGCTGAGGACAATCACCGTCCTCCTTTGTTTCTCCTGCTGCTGGCAACCTGCAAGAGGTTAAGTATTTGGGCTGCTGAGCGTCCCCAATCACGTGCTCCCCAGTTGTGCGTGCGCCTGCACACTTCAGCTCTTTACTCCTTTGTCTGACACTTTTTTGTTTGGGTGTTATTTTCTGCTCGTTTAATTTGGGTAAAAGTTAGTTAGCTAACAAACTCCACTGCTGGATTTTCCTTCTTGTGTTTTTAACTTTTTTTAAAGCTAGACCACCTTTATTGCTCTGGGAGTGAAAATGTGAGGAGAAGATATCCCCCAAGCAAAGACTGTCCTGCATAGCATGCTTTTCTCTACGTCCAAGCGTTTGTGACTGCAGGCACCAGTCGTGAACAAATCCTGGTTCAGCTTTGTGTTGTGTCCAGTCTGTGCACGGCTCGTCTGTAAGCAGAGAGCTTGGTGGAGGAGAAAGATAGTGTGTGATCATGTGAATAGGCAGCCATATACACATGGAGGAGAAAGAGACTGAATTCACAGACAGTTTAATTTCTAGCATTTCTTAACAGAAACATTCTGAGTAAGGAATTTTTGTCTTTGTACCCTTAACGTTTTTTTTTAATGGCTTTACTTCATGACAAGGCTTTTGAAAGACAAAGTGAGCTCTATATAAACTAATCCAGCAGTTGTCTTTCAAACTTTGATGCAGCTCGCTTCTGTGCGATTTCAGGAAGTGCCACCTACTTCAGCCTGGGATGATGGCAGGCCTCGGGTGACTTGGAGAGGAGATGGGCAGTTTGTTGCAGTGAGTGCTGTCTGTCCAGAGACAGGTATGGGACCAAAATGCTTCGCAATATCAACGCGTGTAAGAGGCCTCTTAAGTGGAAACTAGGCAAGGCAAGAGCTAGCTGTTGTATATGGTCTCTTGGTCACTTGAAACTAGAGAGCTGAACTAGTTACGTGCTCTGTCCTCTCCCAAAGCAAACATGTTAAAAACACAGTCTTTTGAACACGTTCTTGAACTTTCTGACCTGTTTTTTTCACCAGTTTGGAATCATTGCTCAGGTCACTTTGTAAGCACAGGGTGGGTTTCTCTAATGAGCTCCCAGTGCCAAATGGAAGGATCTTTTTGGGTGTCCCAAGAGATACTGTCCCTCTTACCAGCAATTTAGGCTTATGGATTTTTGTTTGGGTACTGATAATGTTTTGCCCTAAATTTTGCCCTCAAACCAAAGGGTGACGAGCATAAGGTTTTGGTTTTTTTTTCTCCTAAGACTGTAGTTGGTGTTTTCCATGATTCGTCTTACCGCACAGTTTAAGTGCGTTTGATGAGCTTGTTGAACTGTACCAAAGATCAACTGTCCAAACATTTTGAGTTTTGCCCTTCAGTACCTCAGATTAAGGGGAATTTTTGTTCATAGGAAGATTTTAACACTTCACCTGGGAGAAGCGGAGAGGGAAATGGCCACCACTGAGCTATATCCGATTGGAAGTCCTGCTCAAGTTGCTGTAGTCACTCTGTTACTTTGGGAAGACTGCCTGAGACAGGCAGTTGTGGCGTGCAAGAGAAGTCTCCTTTCTATGCCTGTGCTCCAGAATTTGCTCTCCTTGATGTCTTCAGCCCTCTGAAAATGAGAAGAGTCTTTTTCTGGTGCTTTCTTACGCTCTTGTCTCCCTGCTTCTCAAACCTGTAGGTGCTCGGAAGATCCGAGTATGGAACAGAGAACTTGTGCTGCAGTCAACAAGTGAGCCTATCTCAGGATTAGAACAAGCACTGGCCTGGAAGTGAGTAGCAAGCAGTCTGTATGCTGGCAGCAGGTTGCTGCTTTGTAATGCCTGGCCACAGTCTTTCTTCAGCATTCATTTCATTTTCCTATTTATTTTTATTTTTTTATTTTTCCCCAAACTGGAAGAAAACTTTCTTTTGATCCAGCATGAGCAAGAGTAGAACCTTGGGCCCTGAAAAACATAATACTTGCATTATGTTTGGGGGGGAGAAGTGATAGATTCCTTGCGTAGTCACGGTGTCACCCATTTGGGGGCTCGACTATATAAGAGGAACAGAGCTAGTTGCTTTGCCTGTGCTGATGCTTCCCTGCTAATCTGAGAGTAACAAGCCCTGAGAAACATTTGTGCAGCACCCATGACTTTGAGCAGTCCTGAAGAAAATAGGTGGTGTGCTGCTTCTTTTCTTCCTGTCTCTTGTGTGTGAAAGTTTTGTCTCTGGAGAAAGTTGGAGTTGATTCTTGTTTAAAATGACAGTATGAGCAGGCACTTCTCATGTGATTCTGTTTTAAGGCCGTCTGGAAGCTTGATAGCATCCACGCAAGAAAAACCCAACAGACACGATGTTGTTTTCTTGGAAAAGAATGGACTTCTTCATGGAGAGTTCACCCTCCCCTTCCAGAAAGGGCAGGTCAAAGTAAGTGTGTCTTGTCGTTGTCAGTTAGAACGCAATGGAAAGGAGAGCTACATCTTTCTCCACGTTCTCCAGAAACTTCTAGGACGAAGTCTTTCGCTTAATGCTTAGTGCCGGTCCTTGTGAAAAAGCTGATCTTTGCTTTCAGGCCTGAAAAGAGAGTGCGGAAGAAGCCCATGGAGGAGAAGCAATATCCTTTGCAAGCTGTAATACAGAGAAAAAGGGGGATTTGTAGAGATGCTTCTGGCTGCTTTACACCTATTAGGCAAAAACTTCACAGCTGCTGCCCAGGGTGTCGACTGGTGCAGGAGTGAGGTGAAATACTCAGATCATTCCAAATAATGTGAGAGAGAAGATAATGCTAGTGTGTTGTTTTAGCTTCTGCCTTCGGATGCTGAGAGATCTTTTGGCAGATGCTTTGTCGGTGCCAAGGAAAGCAAAGGGAACTGTGCTGTCATGTCTGTCCTTGTAGCACCTCTTCAGCTGTGTAGAACCTCTGAGAGGGGTCCTGCTTGACTCAGTTTATCAGGAGCTTTGACAGTACGTGGATGCTTTGTCAGCTCATTAACCCTTACTCCTTACACTGTTGAAAAGTAAGAAGCAACTCAGGTCTTGCTAACCAAGCTGGAGCATGCCCACCCTGTGCAGAGGCACGAATACGAGTAAGACTCTTGTGTTTTTTGTTTTTGTTTTTTTTTTTTAATGCAGGTTAATGAACTGCTTTGGAATGCGGATTCTACGATCCTGGCTGTATGGCTGGAAGACCTTAAGAAGGATGAGAACTGCAAACCAAACAGTTATGGTGAGAGCGCTGAGTGAGGCTTTGGCTCTCACTCTTGTCTGAGAACATGGTCAGCAATGGTATTCCTTGGCAAGTTGGGAGATGTGGAGAACTTTGCCTACAGCTTGGAGCCCCTCTGTGCAGCTCAGGAATGACTGCTAGTTCAGCTGGCGCTAAAAGCATCTTCTAGGCTGACTTATCTGGAAGTAGTATTAATAGAAAGCTGGAGGTATGATCCTTTCCTAAAACACTCATGCCCTTCCCGCGGCAGAGAACTGAGGGAATTCTAAGGCTTTGACTTTTCTGAGCAAAATTTACAGTTGAGGTTTACCTTGGGCTTCTTGTATGAATGTTATTTCCATTGCACTTGATGCACTCCAAGAAAGCAATGGCAGTGGGAAGAGTGTGAGATGGGTCTCAAGCAGCAGTCTGTGGTAACCGTTTATTTTGCTATAGTTCAGCTGTGGACCACGGTAAACTATCACTGGTACCTGAAGCAAAGTCTGCATTTTGGCAACTTGGAGAAAAATCAGTTGGTATCCCTGCTGTGGGACCCAGTGATCCCGTATAGACTGCACGTCCTCTGCCAGGGTTGGCTCTACCTCTCCTATGACTGGCATTGGACCACCGACCACGGGATGGGGGAGAATAGCCAGCACGTGGCAAATGTGGCCGTCATAGACGGAGGTAAGCATTGGGGCCGCTTTGGAGCGCTAGAATCAGAGGAGGTGCTGCAGCCCTTTGGATGCAGCCTGGCTGGGGCTGCTGTGGTTCTTCTGTACCTCCTGTTTCTACAAAGCTGTTAATGAGCGGGACCAGGGAATCGGTGGAAACTTCAGAGGTGGTTTAATGGAATTGCCAGCTAGGGGCACGGCACCTGTCTTCTAGTCTGGTGTTGCTCCTGCTTTCAGTAAACAGTCTAACAAGAGCCTCACAGCTGGACGGGGCTACAATTTAGCTTCTCTTTTCTTCCACAGACAAAGTGCTTGTCACAGCGTTCCAGCATGCTGTGGTGCCCCCACCCATGTGTACCTATCAGCTGCAGTTCACGCAGGCAGTGAATCAGATTGCATTTCACACAGATCCTGAGCACAGTGGAGACATGGCTGTCCTGGATGCTGATAACAGGATCTCCTTATATAGATACGGTGAGAGAACGTTGCACTATGTTGTTAGAAGAAACCTGCTCTCCTGCGAGCAGTAGCAAGGGGGGACTAATGTGGTGCTGGTCATGAGCTTTTAGTAGTCAAGAGCCACACATACATGGTTCAGAGAGAGATCTCAACTCTGTCCTCATTATCCGCAGCAGCTTGGGTGGCGCAGGATCACCTTGGTGGTGAGTTAACTTTTTGAGAAGATAGTGTCCAGCGGTTGGCTGTATGCTGATGCTGGTGACATCCGTCTGCCTGGTTCCCATTTGAATGTAGTGCAGCAGGTGGCATCTTGTGTAATCTGTTCTACTGGCCTGGCTGCTGACTGATGTTGGAAGCGTCTGGGATTAGTCTATCTGAGCCACCCAGCACTGTCCAGAGCACTTGTTTATATGGCATAACATTCAGTATGCAGCAGGACCAGAGGCTGTCACTGTTGTCTTTGGGTTTTGTACTAGGACATTGTGAAGTAGTTACGTTCCTCAGTGTAAGCGTTAATGAGGGTTAGACAGCGGTTTTATGTGTATTATAACATTCGTAGTAGCCTCCTGTAGCCATGGAATGAAGGTGCAAGGGGTTAGCAGGATCTCTAAGCTCTGTTTTTTTCTGTTTTTGCCAGGACAGAGCACAATGAAGGACCCCACTGTAAGGGTAGGAGCTGTAGGTGGAAATGGATTTAAAGCAGCTGTGGAAACACCATACCTGGATAAAACATACAGGTAATACAGAACTAGATCAATGGGGATGTGAGGGTACCTGGCTAGATGGTTTGGAGGTCGCTGCTCTGGCTGCGATCAGTGCTAAGGACTGGGTAACTTGATGGGCAGCACGGTGCTCTTTCTCGTGAGGAGTGTGCTGTGTGCGTAGCCAGGCTGTGCCTAGGAAGATCTTGGCCTTCTTCAGAGGACCAAGGTTCTGGGGTAGCCTGCAGAAATCAGGTTATTTTTCTTTCTGTGTCTCTCTTACTATGTGACAGAGTTGATCTGGGCAGCAACACCAATGAGTTGATGAATCCCTTGGGGCTCCGATTTCTCACCTGGCTGCCAGATAGCAGCTTTCTGGTGGTTGGTCAAGATCAACATACTGCTCAGTCAGTCCTTTACCATCTGACTGCAGCGCCTCCTGTGGCTGGAGCTGAAGAGCAATGCCTGGATTTACGGTACTAGACAAATCTGTCTATCGTTGGTGGGGTCTGAGAGACCCTCCATACTGCGCTTGGGTGGAATTAAATCTCTCACATGTGCAGCCTGGAGGTTGAGGAGTTGGCCCTTTTCCTGCAGGATATCCAAAACAGCTCGTGAAGCTGGCTACTGGACAGTATCTTCCTAATGCCCGTATCCAGCCTGATGAGAGGTGGTATGCTAACATGCCTGTATCAGTATAGGATATCTCTGTTCCTCTGTCTGAATTGCAGGCCCTCAGGGGACTGAATTCCTCTTTCCCCTTTCTTTTCTCTCTTCCCATTATCAAGGTCCAGAGGGGACTATTGTGCTTGTTACTCCTATTCCCCTCAACACCTGCCCGGCTTTGTGGCAGCAGTTGAACTAAAACCAGAGCGCAAAAGGAAGCCACCTGGGCTTCGTTCCACTGAATCTGCTTGCCAGAGGGATCCTGAGAGTCCCTTTCTAATGCACTCAAACAGTGGAGACAGGCTGATTCGCACCTGAACTATAGAGCAAGAAAAGTGAGCTTTGCAGAGTGCTGTAACTATGTGGATAGTGACTAGCACAGTTAGGCCATATGCCTGTTGGCTCAGGTTGCTGATGCTCTGTGATGCCAATATCAGTTTACAGAGGTGTGAAAATAGTTTGGAAGAGACCTTTACAGCAACAAGGTATTTGTCCGTGCTAGAGATGTGCACCCTTCCACCTAGCTCCGGGAAGTGCAGAGCCTGGGTGTTCTATATGTGTCCTGTCCTCTGATGTTCTGTGTCTTCTGTGCCTTGTCCCAGGTTGTCTGTGTCAGTAGATGGAGAAGTGATCAGCCTGTGCTGCAGCCCAGTGACCAAAACTGTAGCTCTACAGCTGGCTGATGGTCAGATCCTGAAGTACCTCTGGGGTGAGCTGATCCCTGTTCAGATCCTTGGGCTAGGATATAGTTGTTACAGATTTCTCAAAAGGTTTAACAAGTTGATTTTGCTTTCAGGGACGTGGGTGGCTCTTGGTGGTATCTGATGCTGTCTTTCATGTTCTCTTTGCTCCCAGAAACAGGTTAAAATAAGTGATTTGTTTCTGAAAGGAGTTAATGTTGAAGCAAATGATCACTCTGACTTTGTGCTTTGAAAAGAAGATGGCTGATTTGGTGCTTTCAGAAGTGCTGACCGACTGCCAGGTCCTTGACACTTCTTTCTTGTTCCACAGTGGAATAAAGGTGCTGCTGAGCCCACAGAAACTACCGCCTTCTCTTCTGCTGTGCGCTGGCTGGACTTCTGTGTCAGCATTCCCTCCTCTCTCTGTCAGATATAGCTTCTGCAAGTGCACCTTGCTGCAGTTTCCTTGGGATATGTGTCTTGGGGGTGTCATTTCTGGAGCTTTGACTGGCTAGAAAACAGTTTGATCTTCTTTGCTCTTTAGAGGCTTCTACTCCAGTCCTTGAGCCCTGGCAGACCAGCAGTGGCTCTGCTGTTCGGTTCCCTCATCCTTGTGTGCAGACTTCCCTCACCAGGATCAGTGCAGAAGTAAGTAAGATTCTGAGCAGTTTCAATTCCTAACAGTCCCTCTGTCAAATATCCTCTCTGATCTTCTGTCCAGGGTCCGGTGATGCTTCTTAACTGCTTTCTCCATAAAGACCTGTGCGGAGCTAAGAGCTTATCTTTCCTTGTCTTGTAGAGCATTTGTGATTGCTTGTGGTTAACAGCCAGTCTCCCCTTCCTATTAATGCTGTGAATTATGTGATTGAAGAGTGAGGAATTTCAAACGTAAAGTCCCCAGCAGCCACTGCCCTGCCCTGTGTGTAAATAGCATTCCGTTCTATTTTATGTGAAATCACCCCCTTAGCAAATAGAGCTGAGCTGAGTTACAACAGATCTCCTATTCCTACTGTTTCCTGTTTAGGATGGTTTTTTGATAGTTACAACAGCTCTAAGAAATTACTAGCTATTGTGCCAGTAGTTGCACGATTTCTTTCCTTCAGTCTGCACCCAGGTACATACGATATGGAGCTGCTCTGCTCTTTACTGGTGCTCTTCCTCTGGTGCTCTGGAACCAATGCCGTTAAATAAAAAAACGGTGATATGGCATGGCATGGCTGTTCTGCTACTGCACAGTTGCTGCGACGGGGTGGGTGAAACTGGTGTCCAGGCATGAGTGTTTAAAGACACTGAAGGAAGAAGCGCTCCTGGTACAGAGACTGGATGACTTCCTGTCCAGCTTCTCTAAGTAAATCACATGAGGTGCTCAGTACCTTATCATAAGGCACTTCAGTCTAATGGTAATCAGCTGGGGGACATTGGAGGCTGTAACACTGACAGCTTCTAATTGTTGTCCTTTTCCTTTACAGGAGGTGATCTTAGGCCTTACAGATCGATTCCGACTTTTTATTGACGACACGGAGGTACCAAAATGTGTGCCCCTTACTACGTCCCTTTTTCCTTTGCCAGTTTTTACTGTCCTGCTCTGCACAGTGATAACTTAATCATCTTTCTGCAGGTAGCTTCCAACATCACCTCATTTGCAACGTACAATGAGTTTTTGTTGGTGACAACCAACTCCCACACCTGTCAGTGCTTCTGCTTAAAGGAGATGTCAGTGAAAGGTAAATGCTAGCTCTGACTTCCTGCTGCTGGCAGCTTGAAGCCATTGTCTTGGAACTACAGCATGTCCCCCTTTTTTACTTCCAAACCTGCTGCACTGAGGTCACTTAGAGCAACTGCTTAAGAGAGAGAAGAGGGAGGCTGCCCTCGAAAGACTCGCAGAGAGCAAGGAGCACAGGAGACTGGCTTTGTATGCCATGTGCTCTTCCCAGGATTTGTCACCCAGTTGTTGTCCCTTTGTCTGTTTTCAACAGTATAGCTCTGCGTTCGCTCCCTTCCCTTCACATCCAAAACCAAGAAAAGGCTCTGTGCTCTTTGACGGTGAAGAGTAGAGAAGGGGTCCAAGTATGAGCAGTTTCTGGTGGTACCTGGCCCCAAGAGATATGGGGAACTTGGGAAAGGCAGGATAACACGTTACTGGTCCAGTACCCTTTTCAGTGCACCTGTCATCTGGTCTCGAACTTTAAGTTCGTGAGGCAGAGAGGACGTGTTTCTGCTTTGTGTCGAGCTGTGCTGAGGGGTCCTCATCTTATCTGGAACAGTTGAGTGTCATTGTTGTGTCATTCTTGAGTGAATTAGGGTATCAGAGCTGCTGTACATCCAGCAGGACCTTGCAGAGCCACTCAGTAAAGCCCGACTGCGCTGGAGCGTGTGCCCTGTGTGCTGATAACTGTTGTCTTCAGCCCTTCAGGCTGGCCTGAGCAACACTGCTGTGCCCAACAATGAGACCCTACGCAATGTGGAGCGAGGCTCCCGTATCATCACGGTTGTGCCTCGGGACACCAAGGTCATTCTGCAGGTCAGTGCTCTGCCCGTGTCTGGTGAGGTCTGCTCTCAGGGGTGCAGAGAAGTTGTCTCAGCAGGCAGCTGGACAAGCTGCAAACAATTTGTGCAGTGCTACGTAGCTGCTGTCCTGTCCTGCTGCAGAACGCCACAAATCTCCAGCTGTCTGGAATGATTTGAGTGCGTGTCAGGGAGTTAAGAGGTTCAGCACAGGCAGCTGGATGTGGACAGAACTGGGGAGGGATGTTCACATTCCTGTTAGCTGAGGTAACTTAGTGCTGTGTTGACACCACTCCCTTTGGATCTCAGACCTGTATCTTAGTACTTGTGTGTGCTAACAGCCCTTCATTAGCCTTAGCACCAAGTTAGTCTAAAGTTTGGAGCGCTCTGCTCGCTGTTGAGAACCAGCAGAGGCTCTTAGAACAGAGGATTTCATTCGGAAGGCATCTCTGGATGCCTGTAGTCCAGCATCCTCCTCAAAGCAGGGCTAACCTGCAGGCTAGATCTGGTTGTTCTGAGCTCTGTCCAGTTGAATGTTTTCAAGGATGGAAATTTCCCGCCACTACCACCCTCATTCTTGTAGAAAGGAATTTTTTCTTTTGTCCAACCAGAACATCCCTTTTTGCAACTTGTAGTTGTGCCCCTTGTCCTTTCCCCATGCATTTCTGAGAAGTCTAGTTTTGTTGGCTCCAGCCCTTGCTTGGCAGTTCACCCTATTAAAGGACGCCTCCTCAGCGTTCTCCAAATTGAACAAGTCCAGTTTCCTTCTCATTTTGTGTGTCAGGTGCTCCAGCTCCCGGCCATCTTATCTTAATGGTCCTTTGCTGGATTTGCTCCAGTTCCCCCTTCAGTTTTTGTAGGGGTAATGCTGAATAAGCCACAGAAGGAACTGTCAGAACTCAAAGAGTTGTTAAAGTTGATCCCTGCCTCACTCAAAGACATTTCTTCTCTTCTCTTACTGAGAGAATTTAAAAAAAAAAAAAAAAAAAAAAAAAGTGACCGTGTAGGGGAGAGAAATGTTCAAGTTGGTAATAAGCTGATGTAAAACTGCCAGCATGATTATCCAGGTAGCTTACCTCTTTCTGGAGTTTAGCTTTGCTAGAAAAACAGCATAGACTTTTTTTTTTTTTTTTTGTCCAGTTTTGGGCTTCTCTAAGCATTCCCAGCTCACCCATACCCTAGACTTCCTACCAGTATCCAGCTGCCCTTTCAGAAAGGCCAGAAACTATCCCAGTGAGCCAGTGAGTAACAGACTAGCAGGAGCAGAGTTAAGTTTTCAGATAGATGCCTCCCACCTGTTATAATTTGCCCGTGCAGTTTGGAATGTCCTGTAGTGTCTTGGGTCACAGGAAGCAAATTCTTCAGAGGCTGGGTTTTTCCTCTTAGTATGAGGAGGTTTCATGCCTCCGGAATTCCTCTGCCTGAAGGAAGTCTCTGCTTTTAATTCTGTTTCCCTTTTAGTCTTCCTATCCCAACCCATGAGGCCTTTAGATTTCACAGCCTTCTGAGGAAGGAATGTTTCTGAGCTGAGAGAATATTCAAATATTGCTCCTAGAGTCATTGAAACTGCGTGCACTTTGAAGTGAACAGAGAGCCCCGTGCGCCCACTGGTAACAGACAAGTCTGGAAGAGTTGGCCTGTTCTCACTTTGCCTTAAACATAGATAAAGTAACTACTGTGAACTAGTTGCTTGAACCTTGTGTTGTAGATGCCAAGAGGGAATCTGGAGACTGTTCACCACCGAGCTCTGGTTCTTGCCCAAATTAGGAAGTGGCTGAACAGGTAAGCGGCACTGGGGTATTTTGGTCTTCCATTCCCCACTGTGAGCCATTTAGAGGCGGCTGACCTGGTTTTGTTGTGCTGAGGCCTTCCTTGAGAAGGCAGGGAGACCAGACCCAAAGCGACAGACGTTTCAGTGAGAATGAAAACTATTCCTGAGGCTACCAGCTGGAAGTACAGCTTTCCGCAGTCCTGACTGACTAACACTTTGCCCCTGAAGGGCTTACGTGTGGGCTAGGACTGGGTGGGCAGGAGAAATACCTTAGTGTGCTCCCTTCTCTGGACATCTAGGTCACTTCATGAGGTAGCTTGCTATTTTTCATGTTTTATTTATCATTTTTACATTGAAGTTTTCTGAAATGGAAGTTGGTCGATTAGACTCAAATGTAGTGAGGTTTTTTTTTTTTAATTGTTTTGGTTTGCTTTTTTTGAGTGCAAGGCGCATCTCTCTATCTCAGATAATGCAGTCTGCTCGCCTGTCCCACCTCAGGGGCTGGGAACGGACAGGACTGACCCTGCACATCTTGTCTGGAAGGCAATTTACATGGCTTGTTGCCTAGCCAGTTATTCGCCTCCCACTGTGTCTGTGCTTTCCTCTAAAGAGTTGCCTTTATATATGGATATTGCACCTATGCAGTATATAAACTGTCCTGCTTAACTCATTCCCTCAGGCTTATGTTCAGGGAAGCGTTTCAGTGTATGAGGAAGCTGAGAATCAACCTCAATCTTCTGTATGATCACAATCCCAAGGCAAGTATGCCCAACTCTGATGCGCCCTTTTCTATATCCGTCTAGCCTGGAATCCATTGGCATTTAGCAGCGGGCTCAAAAGAGTAAGCAGTGCTGAGAGTTCTGCTTTCAGCAGGGATGACGGCTCTGCACTGCTGCACCTTCATGCAAGCAGACTGCATTTGGCATTTCTTTCATCTTGCTCGTCTTTAAACGTGCTATGCTTACTTTACTAGTTTAGAGTAACAGTAGTAATACTTTTGTTCATTTCAGGTATTTCTGGAAAATGTAGAAACCTTTATCAAACAAATAGATTCTGTGAATTACATCAACTTGTTTTTCACTGAACTGAAGTGAGTATAATTCCGCAAATGGGAATATGCGTATAACCAGTGGCCGTGGATTATTTTGCCCGCATATTACCAGCCCTCTGGTGTGGATGCAAGGACTCGGCCAGAAATCTGACATGATGGGTCATAAACACCCCAGTAAGCTCAGTAGTTTCAGGGACAGTCACTGTGTCTTGTTGGGGAATTCCAGCTTGCAGGCATTCAGTAGAATTTGCCAGCAAAGGATCAGCATCTGATTGCTGTGATTTTTTTTTTTTTTTTTCTTCAGGTTGCTGTACAAGGCTAAATGTGAATAGAGAAGGTTTTGCACCCTCATAAGGAAGAGCAGGAAGAGAGCATTGCCTCTCTGAAATCTGAAGCCTAGATAATTGCTTAAATTCCCAAATCAGGCACCCTGAACTGTTTTTTCTCAAAGGTTTAATGACCTTAATGACCTAATGAGGCTTTAAGCCATTGGTCACTTCAGGGTTTCTCAGGCTTGCTGAATTGAACGCTTGTTGGACAGCTGGGGCTGTCCCTCAGTTTCTCTTCTTTATTTTCAGTTTGGACCTTAAATTTTGGTATAGAAGTACAAGCCAATGGCTTAATTTTCAGAAGTGTTCTCTATGTGGCATATGAATTTATTGGAAGGCAGTTGAATCTTGAAAATCTTGCCTTCTGGTTTTTTTGTTCGCAGCTGTAATAGTGTTCTAACAATTTTTTTTCTTGTGCCTCTTTTGACTGAGAATCAGTTGGGAGGAATGAGAGACCAAGTTGGAGAGCCTCCTGGCTCTGTTAGGCAGCATGACAGGTTGCCTCTCTGCACTGAATGAGCATATGAGCTATTTTATTGTGTAGTTAATTTTTGTGTGTATGCGTCCTTTGCTTTGTGCTGGGTTATATGATGGACTATGCTTGTATTCATAGTATTTGTTTTTATTTAGAGAAGAAGATTTCACAAAGAGCATGTACCCATCTCTGAATGGTAGCAGTAATGCTCAGCTGCAGCAGCATCCTGATCAGAAAAAAGTGAACCTTGTATGTGATGTAATGAGAGCTGCCATGGAACGCATTGACCCTCAGAAGTGAGTATTTTCTTCCCATAGGTGAAGGAACAGTTGCAGGGACTTCTAGTAGGTCATTTATAGAAAAGCAAGACTGTCCTTAGTGTCGGCTATTTCACCTCAGATCCTCTGAGGTGAGCCTGCGCTCTGGTAAACTCATATAGCATATATTCTGTGTTCTGAGGATGCTTTCCTGAAAAGCACAACAATTAACGATTGCAGAGGCAGCAAAACTTTTCCCGTAAGAGTTGGAGAGGTGGGGCTGCTTACAAGGATTTAAGAAATACTGCACGCATTTTAAAATGGCAAGGTCAGTCTTTGTGGCACGGGGGAGAGAGAGGCATGAGCAAGATCATCGGGGGGAGATGCTGGCTTTTTAGAGGAGATAACCTCTCTGAAAAATTTCACATGCTTCATCTGAGATTGGATTACCTTTGTAAACCTGGTGTGAACATTCTTGCTACCTCTTTCTGAATAGCTACCTTCTTATTGCCATCTTCCTTGGATGAATCAAGGTTAGTCAAAGGCAGAGGGTGGGAAAACAGGGTAATAGCAGTGGTTAGTGAAATACAGTATTAAACTGTGTGCAACTTTACATCTGAAACAGTGGACAGAGAAGCAACCAAGAGTGGAGCGTGGCTGCTGAATCCTAATAACGTTAGACGCTTTCCACTGAACAATTACGAAAAATAAGGCATCCCCTTAGCTAGGACAATTATTTTAAAATAGGATGCATGAAACAGAACTTCTAGGAGTTTTTCTCTTTAGAAAGAAGACTATTTTCACGCAAAATTTGATCTGGAAAAAGGATTTTACCTAGCTAGCGGAGCTTTTAGAGGAGCTCTCTGCATCATGCTCGCTGGCATGGTAAAAAAAGCTCACTGTACTCAAAGCACACCTCCAATCTTGTGACATGTTTGAGGAAACATGCTGAGCAGAATTTTCTTTTTGGTGGTATTCTGTTCTCTTCTTCTCTACCCTGTTTTGTTGTTGGGGGGGGGGGGGGGGGGGGGAGGGGGAACTTGAGTACTTTTGCTGTGATAAAATAGGAATAAACAAAGTCTCTCTGCCATCTCACTTTCTTTTACGTCTTCCATTTTCTTCAGATACTGCCTATCAATACTGACAGCCCATGTAAAGAAAAGTCCTCCAGAACTGGAAATTGCTCTCCAGAAAGTTCATGATCTTCGAGGTGTGGTATCAGGAACCTAGAAGTGTTGAAAATGGATGATCCTCTGTGATAGAGTTTCTAGGAGCTTTCACTGTTAGCATGGTTTATTCTGAAAACTATTTTAAGGTGGTGGTTTGTGGAGCCAGTCAGAAAACAAAAAATATGCTTGAAACTAGCTGTATGATAATGGAACAGCAGCAGATCAGTTTATACGTAAGTTACCTGTTTGCCCTCAGCTCATCCTGTGCTCTAGATACATCAGCAAATAGCCCTGGATTTGAGCTGTTTTCTCCTTCAGGACTCAATTTCTCCCAGCCGGGTATAGGAGGTTCCTATTCTAGCTCCTGATATCTCCAGCTGGCAAGTTCCACTTTTATCCTGCCCTGATACTTCTGGCTTGTCACTGCTGCACACTTCACAAGTTGTTGTTCTTGGGGCAGTTCTTGAAGATGCTGGATGCCTGGAGAGTCTCGACAAACAACC